AATTTAGATATATGTATATGGTGATTTTGAGAGCAAGCTACATGTAAGCCAGGTAAAACCTACCTAAGTGTCAAATTAACTTCAGACACAAGATAACCATCTACATGTCAATAAAGTACATGATGTACATGTATATATAAATTATTAAGTTGTGACAATTCATGCTACTGCCATGTTGACAATATTTTTATTTTATTTCACTTTCCAATGTATGTACTGTGGAATACTTTATTTTCACTGGAATTAATTTTCACTGAAAAGGCTTTTTGGGCAGTTTGTATGGAATTTGTTTTCACTGTTTTTTGATGAGTTTAATGTGAAATATAGGAAAAAAGTATATTCGCTGGATTTTATTTTCACGGAATCATCCCTTCAGCGAAAATAGCGAAAATAAATTCCAAGCGAAAATAAAGTATTCTACAGTATGTAAAATTACTCCTCAGCAGACTGATAGCTACTCTTTTACCCACTATAGCATAAAAAACTAGGGACAGTTCAAGTGAAAAAAAAATAGGATTAAAATGTACAGTAAGAAAGAGAATATGTTTTTGGGGTGCAGTGCTTTGTCAGTCTATAAAAAGAGATGATTATTATGGCTAGATTCAATACTGGTAAATTTGCAGGCAGGTGGAAAGAACAGACAAGCCATCCATGATGAAAACTTGAAAGTGTATTAAATATACAAATTCTTTATGACTGGGCATGTCAAGTGTTTTGAGTTAACACTGGTTTTGCATTGCCATGTCAGCAGATATTATTAAACAGGTCTTGTTCACATTTCTTTCAGAACTGATGCAGTTGATAGCATGGCTGTTGCACCCAGAACCAGAGTGGAGATGTACATTAATAGAATTAGAAACAAACGACTGGATAAACCAGAGGGTAGATATATCCCAATATGAATGGAATTCAGTTTTACCACCAGACAGTAAGTATAGACTGGCAGTGATTAATTCAACTCAGACTACATGTGTATTTCTTTGTTGATGTTTTGCAGAGAGAAACTGGATGCACCACAATGATTATATGTCAATATAGAGGTCCTTGTTTCCATAGAAACAGACTTGTTATCACTTTGATGTCCAATGGCTATTTGAAATGAGTTTTCTGACCCTTTATTCTGTTTTCATTTAAATACTCCAATATCTGACCCTCATCCAATATATCCTTCATTCAACTGACATTTTGTTTTCTTACCTTCTAGTTATTCTTGTAATTCGTGTTCGCCACATCTCCACTATTGGAATTGCTCATTCTTCAGTACAACTCAATATTAGATTTAGCTTTAAATTTCTTGCCACCAATTCTAATTTCTTGACTGGCATATTCAACATTCATCAGATTTGATCTTCTCACCATCAGTTTCAACTCTTTTACATTCAAGATCAACTTTTTTCCCCCATCAGGTTCCACACTTTCACCCTCAAAATCAACCCTTTTACTACAGAGTGGCACTTTTTGGGTGATACATGTATGATTTAAGTAAACGTAAATCTAGCCTAATGAAGTTTTGGTACTTTACACTTTATAATTTTAATGAATTATTCAAAAACTGCCATCTGGATGTAAAGTTTTCAGAGTAATTTATACACCATTTACATACATTTGTATATGGTTTTACGACAGATTTAGCCTAGCTGCTGTATCCTTTGATCTGGAGTTATATAGCACATGTTTCCAATAGTGAAATAATGTCTTATAATTGCTAGTATGCTATGTGTAAGGTTTCTTTACTTTGCTGGTTATCTGTGTTTTCTTTACCTTCTAATGCTAACAAAGGAATGGGTAATCATGACAGTGATAGTACACCCCTATCAGACAGTGAAGACAGCGACTCTGCGGAGGAGGCTGAACTAATGTCACGACTTGAGGCTGAATACCAGCATCGTCTGAACGTTGACGATTATCAAACTTGAATACTTGTCTGTGAGTTTATCAAATTTCACAAGGTCAATGATATTTACTTATAAATCCATGTCTAACATTCTATGCCTTTGAAACTGCATGCTATACTTAGCAATTGTTACTTAAGGGTATGGCTTGGTATATTCATACTTTATTTGTTGTGTTTTAATCAAGACCGATACTTTTAAATATTTTTTATACTGATATATTGCTGTTAATTCTAAATTGTTTCAAGGA